CTACACGACGCTCTTCCGATCACCCCAAAACCCCAAAACCCCGATAGGCTGAAATTGAAGCAAATTAGATGAATAATGATTGCATAATAGAGCATTTATTAAATAATAGTTGATAAATCATATTAATACAAAAGTAAATATGAGCGAGGAACTTAAGACCCCTTTCAATAACCAACACAGCGAGTAAGACTTCAGCGCTGTTCAATATATGCAGCAGGACTTTCAAATAAAGCAAAAACACTATACCTCGACTCGTGCTGTCCAATCCCTCTAATAAGATAATCAATCCTAGTCTAAGTCAAGCAATATGACGAGTGGGTCAGGCACTTTTATGATGCAAAAAACAGAGTTCTCAATAAAGAAAAATCAAACAGGAAAGTCACTCATGAGCAGAGTTTTTTCCTTAAAAAAAGATAGGCCATAATACAAGTCTAAGACTAAGAAGTACATGCCTTAGTCAATGAATAGCAATGGACATAGCTCTTTGAACAATGAAGAGAACACTGAATACGAAGCAGGAGTTGATCTTTAGGACAATGAAGGATAGCCTATTTATGGAATTGAAAGTAAGAGAAGAAACTACAATTTAAGTGACAAAAAGTCAAAGTTAGATTCTAGCTTTACTAACAAATTAAATAAGTACCAAAACTCATATAATCATCAATAGTCAACAGTGCTTAGCAACGCATAATACAATGAAATACCTTAGTCAACAACGCCAGGACACATTAAAATGAGCATGAGAGCACTTTAGTCCTCTGTTTCAGCTTTAGTTGAAAGAGCTCATCTTAGTAACAATACTGGAATGATTGGCTCTAACTCCCAATGGAATATCTTTACCAGCACTAATAGAATCACCACATCTAACTAGCATAAAAGCAATATAGACTAAAACTTATTTCCAAATTATGATAGAATTGATTTGCAGAACATGCGGATTAGCTATCTCGAAAATAAAACTTAAGGGAATACTTTCTCTCCTTTAGACGAAGGAGAGAGAAAATACACTCGACCTATCTCAAATTTAAATAGATTCACTATTGAGATTTAAAGAGAATAGAATTAATGTCACAGATCATCAAACCCAATAACTGAACCCAAGATGAATGAAAATGACCTAGGTGATATTTCTTAACCTTAAAGTCCATTGAACATCACAGCGAACTTTGTAAAGAATAAAAATATTGAGAAAACGAGGTTTTCTCAATTAGGCAACGATATAGATAACAATCTATTACAAAAAGATGAAATTAAGTTATTCACTTATCTATAAGAAACAAACAATGAGGAACCACTGTAATAGTTATTAGATTCATACTCCTACTAGACATTGATAAATCTTCACAATACAACAGGCTATAGTGCTTTGCATGTCGCCACTTGCAATAATAATTCAAATTACACATAAATACTGATCTCTCACATTCTAAATTCTACAAAGGAACTTGATAATGACTCTGTTTAAAGAGACTCAGAGGAATATGTCAATTCTAAAGATGAGTAATAACTGGTAGAGAAACACTTAGCATTATCGTAAAGAGCAAAGAGTTACGTAGAGAAGTGGATCAATCAGTTGACATTAGGAATAGAGGAGTAATTTGCTGCTATCCATTTTGCTGCTTTTAATGGCAACTTAAAAATAATGCAGATGCTTTAAAGATTTGGTGGTGATATCTAAATAGTAAATAATCAAAAGATAAATTGCTTACACTTTGCTGCTTAGGGAAACCAACCTAAAATTATTCATTATCTATTAAGAAATGGCTACTTTGAGGTAGACACGCCAGATATTAATGGATGTACTGCTCTTCATTGGGCATGTATTTCAGGTTCATATTAGTCAATCAGATATCTACTAGCTATTGGAGCAAATCCCAATATCTAAACTAATTCAGAGGGATGTGCTCCATTGCACATGGCTATAAGGTATTTAGATGAGACTAGGGAGATACGGTGCATTCATAAAATGCTATAATATGGAGCATCTCTTGATGTTAAAGTAATATAAATGTTTTAATTTAGGAATTTAGGACCTTGATGATTTAGAGCCTAAAGACTACATTGAAAATATAGAAGATGAAGATTTGCAAATGCAATGCTAGGACTTAATTGTTACAGAGCAAAACAAATCCAATGGTCTTTTTCCATGGCTTACTGTTTGCTGCAGATATAAAAAGAAAACACTTAAGCCCAGAAGAAAGCGCATGTATTTCATCGGCTTATCTATTATCTTACTATTCTAGCTTTTCTCCATGCTATTTTATGTATTGCCTGTAATCACCTGTAAGCAGTAGACATAATTAATATTTTTAGTATTCAATGGATTAATTCCAACTGAGATAACAATCTAATGTGTATTTGGCAGTTTAAATTTTGTGATTTTCACAACTTTAATCTACCTTTGGCATGGAGATCCTGGATATATACACTCTAATGAAGATAAGAGTTTAGAAATTGCTACTATTTAACCTCTAATCTAAAATGTTACATTCGATGTAAGTTTTTTAATTAAACTAAATTTAGAAACTAATTGATGAAGTAGACTTCAGGTCACTTTGCCCTGAGTGTAGAATTATAATGACCAAACGAAGCAGACATTGCTATAGTTGTTAAAAATGTGTAGAAAGATTTGATCATCATTGTGACTGGATTGACAACTGTGTAGGTATAAAGAGCCATCAGTTGTTTATGGTTTTTATCGGAAGCTTGTTTACTTATATGCTTTTCTTGATAAGTCTAGCCATAGACTAACTTGCTTTCAAATTTGGAAGAGGCGATGATCCAGGTGATAATATACTTGCAATTTTCCCAAAAGACATTTATGTCATTCAAGTAGCCTAAATCATTTTAGGATTAAAAGCATTTGGGTGTCTAGTTTTCTTGATACCTCTAGGCTCATTATTGATCTTATAGATAAGAAATATAGTGCAAAACATGACAACTTATGAAAGATTTAGTAGATCTGGAATCCGTCAAATGCTACTCAGCTAATCCACAGTGTCTGTAACAGAAGCTAATACTGCTAATCCTGTTAATGATACTCAGCCACTACATAATCATGAATTAATGCAGTTCAAGAAATAAAAAGAATTTGAAGATCAAGACAAAGAGGAGATATTTAAAGATTAACCAGAAATTTAGGAATATCTTGACTAGAGAAATGAGTTTATGTCCTTCACAGATTAAAAAGTTGCCTAATAAGAGAGAGATAATACACTGCCTGGACCAGGAACTGCCTCAGAAGCCTAATAGTAATAGCAAGTTACATAGAACCAGATTGAGTCTAAACCAAGGAAACTAAGTCATAGTAGAAAAAGTTAAGTTGGTGATAGTATTTTTCAAAATTGCAGAATAATGTGTTGCCACACTGATATCTAAAGTTAAAATGATCTATACTACGAATATATTAGAGTTCAGTAGAAAAGAATTATGTCTTAAACTGTAAATAACTGACTACACGCCTAACTTATACGCAGGTGAGTTAATGAATTAGAAACTCAATCATCTCATCTGCTAGTCAAATTAATAATATAAGAAATGTAGATTCACCTATTAATGATCAATAAAGTTAAATTAAGTTTGAATATTTATTTGTTTAATTTTTAACCTCAAACTTTTCATTTTTATTTGAGTCAGCTTATATTTAATAGCTTTATGTCAACTAATATTCAAACAAAGTAGAGTTTTCTGTGTTAAGATTATATGATTTGGTATAAAAATCAGAGGGCTAGTCCTTTAGGCGTAACAAGGTAAGGGTGGGCGACTTTCTCTCACTCATTAAGAGTGGGGCTTCCCATCATCAGATTACATAAAACCTTAACAAGAAGGATCGAAGTTTCCAATTCAAATTCCACATATATACTGATTATCTCATATTAATTAATGGGTTATTTAAATACTTTACGATTTCTTTAATTTCCTTTCTATTATATGTAGTGTAGTATAGCTAGATGGGGTTTTGGGGTTTTGGGGTTTTGGGG